CCTTCCTTCCCTCCCTCCCTCCCTCCTTCCTTCTTTCCTTCTTTTCAAACTGGGATTGAACTTGGGAAGGTGTTCTACTACTTGAGACATGCCTCCAGCTACATTTTCCTAATCTAGTTATCTATTGATGGACAATTAACTTGATTCCATATATTCGTGTTGTAGGTGGTGTTTCAAGGAACAGGAGAGAGCAGACACATTTCAACACATATCTTCCTTTGGCCATATGCCCAGAAGTGGGATTTACTGATGATACATTCTTAGTGTTAGCAACCACTGGCTCTGACAATCTTGCCTCTCCCATCTCCAGTAAAGTCTTGGAGTCCCAAAGGGACTAGTAGGATGACTTTGGTCCTTTGCTTGTCCACAAGCCACACAATCATCCATACTTACAGAGAAATCTGCCATGACTGGAGGAATAGGGCAAACCATCAGAATCCTAAGTGGCATGCATGCATATGGTATGCCAAGGGAGAGCTGCCTGGGAAGTAATATGAGGACCTCAATTTTTCTTTTTTCTTTTTTATTTTTTTTGGGTCCGGTCATGGGACCTAAACTCTGGGCCTGAGGGCTGTCCCTCAGCTCTTCAGCTCAAGGCTAGCACTCTACCACTTGAGCCACAGCGCCACTTCCAGCTTTTTTCTTATGTGGTGCTGAGGAATCAAACCCAGGGCCTCGAGCATGCAAGGCAAGTGCTCTACCACTGAGCCACCTTCCCAGCCCCTCAATTTTTCTTAATTGAGAATAGTCAGCAGGAGTGTGGTTTCAAGACCAAGCAGGTGTGTGGGATTAGATTGTCAAGTTTCTCGGCCTTGAATTGTTTGCTCCATAAGGAAATTCAGATATAGGGTAGAGAATAAGGCAGAAGGAAAGCAGAACAGCAGTGAAAACAAGAGAACAATTTATTGAGTGGGTGCCAGTCAGTGTGGACACCTGTATGGTTTTGTTTTGTTTTGTAGTGAGTAGAATTCTCTTCCTGTTCTTGTGCCACCTAGAGCTTTGTGACTTGAACCCTTCTGAGCTCTAGAGCACGTCCTTTCTTAGGGAGAGGGCAATGTGCGGCCCCCTATGCCTGCCCACAGCAGCACTTCAGCAGGCGATCCTCAGATCCTTCAAGGCCATGTGATTTTGCCTTCTGACTTCCTTCACAACTGCCTTCCTTTTCCTCTCTAGAGGCTCACAAAAACATTTGAAAATTCCTTGCATTGTCTGTGGGGGTGGGGGGGCCTGGAACTCAGGGTCTGGGTGCTGTCCCTGAGCTTTTTTGTTCAAGGTTAACATTCTACCTCTTGAGCCACACCTCTATTTCTGGGACTTTATTATTATTATTATTATTATTATTACTGCTGGTTAATTGGCAATAAGAGTCTCATGGACTTTCTTGCTCTGGCTAGTTTTGAGCCACAATCCCCAGATTTCAGTCTCCTGACTAGCTAGGAGTGTAGCATGAGCCAACAGCACCTGAGTACATTGTGGATTTTGTTTTTAAGGGTTTTAAAAATAGTGGTTGTAAAGGTGATAAACAGAGGGGTTACAGTTACATAAGTCAGATAATGAATATATTTCTTTTTTCTTTCTTTCCTTTTTTTTTTTTTTTGTCAGTTGTGGGGCTTAAACTCTGGGCTTGGGCACTGTCGCTGCCCTCTTCAGCTCAAGGTGAACGCTCTACCACTTGAGCCACAGCACCACTTCTGGTTTTCTAGTGGTTTATTGGAGATAAGAGTCTCACGGACTTTCCTGCCCGGGCTGGCTTTGAACCTTGATCCTCAGATCTCAGCCTCCTGAGTAGCTAGGATTACAGGCGTGAGCCACGGCACCCAGCTTGAATATATTTCTTATTGGACAATGTCACCCCTCCCCTCACTCTCCTAGGTTTTCCCTCCCATTCCCACCCACAAGTTGTATAGTTAATTTCCCACATGGTGTCTACTGAGTACTACTGCTCCATTTCTGTGCCTCTCCTCCCCCATCCAAAGCCAGCTAAGCAAGAAAAAAAGAGAAGAAAACTAACAAGAAAAAACCCTCCTGTTTCCATTTCCTATAGTTCATTTCAATAAATATTATTCTATATACACATTGTCTTTTTTAATTGGTTGGGGACAGGGGCCTTTAAGACCACTCTGGCTTCCCAGAAGACAGACTGGGGCCTCTGCCCTTTCTGCTAGCAAGGCAGCCATTAGTGTCATGGAAGCAGAGCTAGGAGGTTGGCCTCCCTGTGCCTGCCCACCACTAGGACATTTATGCCTCATTTTTCTGCTGCTAAGGATGCCTCATGCTGAACACAGGTGTCACCTCAGCTCTGATGTGTACATTCATTCACTGTGACACTTGCTGTGGCTGTAAGTGATAGGAGGTGATTTAGAAGAAATTTTGGTCAGAGATAGTGGGGACTGAACCCAGGGCCTCACATACACTAGGCAAGTGATTGGCCTACTACTTAAGTTCTTCCCAAGCCTGGCTGCCTCCCTCCTCTTCCCTCTCTTCTCTCTCCCTCTCTTCCTCTTCCTACTCTTTACCTCTTTCTTTCCCCTTCCTTCCTTCCTTCCTCCCTCCCTCCCTCCCTCCCTCCTTTCCTCCCTCTCTCTCTTTCTTTCCTTCCTTCCTTCCTTTTCTTTCTTTCTTTCTTCCTTCCTTCCTTCCTTCCTTTCTTTCTTCCTTCCTTCCTTCCTTCCTTCCTTCCTTCCTTCCTTCCTTTCTTTCTTTCTTTCTTTCTTTCTTTCTTTCTTTCTTTCTTTCTTTCTTTCTTTCTTTCTTTCTTTCTTTCTTTCTTTCTTTCTTTCTTTCTTTCTCAAATAGAGTCTCACTGTGCCAGGGTTGGCTTTGATCTCTTTCTTTTTTTTCTTTCAGATAGTCTCACTCCCCCAGGACTGGCTTTGAACTTGTGATCTTCTTTCTTCTGCTTCCCCAATAGCTGGTATTACAGGCACACATCACCAAGCTCAGATCTAAGAAATCTGAAAAACTGTACCACAAAATTCAAAATTTACCTTTTTCTTTTCAGTACTAGGGTTTGAACTCAGAGGCTCATGCATGCTAGACAGGCACTCTACTGCTTGGGCCACACTGCCATCCCTTTATGCATTGGTTATTTTCAAGATATAGTTTTGCCTTGTGCTCAGGCTGGCCTAGACTGCCATCCTATTTGTGATTCCCCACATTGCCGGAATGACAGACATTCACCACCATGCCCTGCCACTGGTTGAGATGAAGTCTTATAAACATTTTATGCCTAGCTAGCCTCAAATCATGATTCCCTCAATCTCCGTTTTCTGCTTTTATAAATTAGCTGAGATTGCAAGCTTGGGCCACTGGACTTGTCTCAAAATTTATCTTTTTATCTTTTTGTTTCAGAGAGGGAGTGTTTTGAAAACAGGGTATCAGCTAAGATTGGACTTGAACACACTATGGATCCCAATACTGGCCTTGAACTTACAATACTCCTCTCTCAGCCTCCTGAGTACTGGGATTACAGACATGCATACCATACCCATCATTTATGATCATCCTCAAGTGTATGCCTTAGCAGCATTAGATACATTTACAATATTAATCTCCCCTTTACCACCATGTATTTCCAGAACTTACCATCTCAATCTGAAGCTCTGCTAGTAAGAATTTCGTTTCCCATTCCCTCCAGCTGCAACTATTCTCTATTCTACTTTTTGTCTCTGAATTTTTCAGTTCAAGTGCCTCATATGAGTGGAATACAATAAATGATCACATCTGTTTCACTATATGTATCCTTTGTGACTAGCTTATTTCAAGAACATAATATTTTTGAGGTTCATCCATGTCATAGTCTGTGTCAGAGTTCCATTTCTTTTCATGCATCTATAATATTCCTTTCTATATACATACCATACTGTTCATCCATTCATCTGCTGATGGCCACAAATGTTGTTTACACCTTTTGACATTTTTGCTTAATGCTGCTATGAACACTGGCATAACTTTTGTTAAAAAAAATGGGTCAATATATTTAATTCTTACAGCTCCAAGTAGTAACGCACATTTTTTTCTTCAATTTACGGAAGAAGAAAATAATGGAGCTGGTAGTAGGGAGGCCAATATTCCTACCTGGAGTTTCTAATTATACTGTACTCTGAATAAATACTGTGCTGTCCTTAATACAAATATTTGTTCTTTTTTTCCTTGAGATTATTATATCCTGGATACAACATATGCATTATTTCTAAGTCCTGAAGACAGCTTTATAAGAGAAAGGACTATTATCCTATATATAAAGCCATTAGTGCTTGGAGAGGTGAAATGGTGTTTACAGAAATGTCCCCAAGTTGTACTTGTCTTTTTGAGTTCACAAAGTCATAATGCATCAGGAACCAGAGACAGCCCAGTTTCTTCTGGATTGACCATAGGATAGAAGCCATCCCTGAAGCAGAACTCAGGACCACTGTTGGATGGGATGAGGGAGGACTGGGATTTCACAGCTATAGAGAAGTTCTAACTTAGGTTCCATATGAGACCAGGAATTTTTTTCTGTTAATAAAGAGAAAGCATATATATATATATATATATATATATATATATATATATATATCTCACCAAAAAACTTTTGATCAATGACTTGTGCAACAGAGATAGAACAACATGGTCTATTCTTTTGTTCGCTAAATTTGGAAAATATGCCAAAAAGAAAGTATTCAAATTTTACACAAAGAAAACCAAGCATCCACATTTGCCTAATTGATGAAGACTGACTCTCACAACATCTGAATCATGTAGGTATTTATATCACATTTTGCTTCTGTGGCGAAAGTGAATGTCCACAGAACTTTGGGCAAAGTTCTTTCTCCACTTTTGGGACTACTTGTGCCCGTTGGTGCTTTGAGACTCAAAACTTTTTCCTGTCTGGTTAATTTTGTCTCCACTTTTGTTTTTTATAGCTAGCACACAAAGATACTTCAGACTACCATTTTACAAAAGATTGAAAATTACCAGTGTGTATAACCGTGGTGATTTTTCCTTCTTTGGTTTTGCAGCCTGGGAAAATGGAAGATAACATATCTAACCAAAGACAGCGGACCATGTCAACAACTGGAGAAGCTCTATATGAAATCCTTGGTCTGCAGAAGGGAGCAACAAATGAAGAAATTAAGAAAACCTACAGGTACAGAGGAAGCACAGTGATGACATTTCCTGAGCTTCTGGTGATAGTTGTTTTGTGACTGGCAAGTGGCTCTGGTTAGACATAAGCTTCTTGTGGACACCAAGTAGTCTGAATTTTTGACACCAAATGTCCTTGTCTGCAACATAGACAATTAGGAATAAACAGACATAGCAATGATTTTATGAATCAATTTGGTGATGGCAGCTAGGACTTAGGAAAGGATACCCTAGTGTTGTGGATCTGTAAGGTCAGAGCAGAAAGAGGAAGGAAGGGAGAGAGCAGACGAGGGGAAAGGAGAGAACCAATTACAACCAATAGCTGTGATTTAATTTACATGATATAGCATCAGTGAATCTGGAGGAAGGATGTTTCAGTAAGAGTGGATTTGTTCCTATCCACTATCCACCAGGGTGGATTTAACGCACTATTCAAGCCCTAACTTTGAAGTTTCATATCTATCTAGTCTAATTCTACATTAGCTACATTTGAGAAAAATAAAAATATCCATTTATCTAACACTTAGAAGAATAATATATATTTCAGGCTGGGAATGTGACTTGGCGGTAGAGTGCTTGCCCAGCATACCTGAAGCCCTGGTTTTGATTCCTCAATACCACATAAACAGAAAAGGCTGGAAGTGGTACTGTGGTTCAAGAGATAGAGTGTTAGCCTTAAACAAAAAGAAGCTTAGAGACAGTGCCTAGGCCCTGAGTTCAAGCCCTGGGATTGGCAAAAAAATAATATGTTGAAATATATATATAATAATAATATCTTGAAAAAATATATTAATGCAAAATTATTTATTATAGAAAAAAATTAAATTATGATTATAGAAGTTTAAGGTGTTTGAGTAGGCAAATTTTTAGTTATTTTCTTTATGAATTAAAAAAATTTACCTGGTATGGTTTAAAGCCTCTTTTAATAACACTGTTACAAAAAAATGAGCTCTTACCTTATTACATTTATGATTCTGCTTTTACATGACATATCTGATCTATATAGATTTTATTTTGGTATAAACAAAACTTTTAATAAACCATAAATAAAGGAATAAGATAGGATTATGGGTTTACTTTTTTCTGAATCACTAGTCCCCCAGTATTTATTGAATTATCCATTTTTATCTACTAATGGGACATCCATTGGCCTTTAACTGAATTTCACCAAGTGATAAAACTATAGAGCCTGTAATGCCTTCAAGAAACTTGTACTGAAGAGTAAATGACAGAGATACAGCTGCCTTTCTGTGAAAAAAATGGGATCTGGCTAAAATCATTATCAGCCTTGCAGCTTATGTCTCCCTCAAGTGCTAGACAGAGAAAAGTGCCTGCTTTTCATTTTTCCCTATTGGAAGGTAGTGGCCCCGCTCTCTGCAAACAGAAGGTCCTTGCTGAAATCTAGGTAAGAATCAAAGCAATTGTGTCCGAACCGACAAAAAATGCTCCAAAGAGAAAAGTATACTAGACTACTTTGTCATTCTTTGTGTGTTGTGGGTTGTGTGTATGTGTGGGGGTGGGGTGGGGGGACTTTGTACGGGGTTGGGAGCACCTAACCTGGGGTTTGAACTCAGACCCTGTGTGCTGTCCCTGAACTTTTTACTCAAGGCTAGCACTCTTCCACTTGAGCAACAGCTCTACTTCTGGGTTTTGGGTGGTTCATTGGAGATAAGAGTTTCATGGACTTTCATGTCTGGGCTGGCTTTGAACTACAATCCTCAAATCCCCACCTCCTGAGTAGTTAGGATTGCAGACAGGAGCCACCGGTGCATGGCCCTTACAATTCTTAAAACTCACTTTACGAATTTGACTTTTAACTGTCTTTATTAATTTTCAAAGTTAAAATTTCAGGTCATATCCTAATTGAGGCATTAATTATGCTGGGCTGTTTGCAAGTTTAATAATTACAACATAAATCTTTCCATGTAATCAGTGTCTTGCTATTAATTTTGTTTTAATGTCATACAAATATTATTTTTTCAGCTGATTAGGGTACTAGTATGCTGCCAAAAGCATCTATTTCTATCTAAATTACACATTTGTATTCTGAAAGTTATTCAAAATGTATGAGCAAGCTGCAAATCCACTGAGAATATTCTTCTTATATTCTGAAATCTGGATCAAAACAGAGACAACATGGTGGAATTAAAATTCAGTGAAATTTAATAAAATTACCAACTCTTGAATCCATTCACAGTTTGACCTCTCATAGAATTTTTGGTTGTTCTGTTGGAAATAAGATTGAGTTAAAAGCTTCTTTTTCTTCTTCTTCTGAAAATCTCCTTTATTATACCTTTACTTATGTGTTTATTGTGCCAGTACTGGGGCTTGAACTCAGGGCCAAACATTCTTACTTAGCTTTTTTTGCTCAAGGCTGGCACTCTACCACTTGAACCACAGCTCCACTTCTGGCTTTGCTGGTTAATTGGAAATTAGAATCTCAAGGATTTTTCTGCCTGGGCTAGCTTTGAACCATGGTCCTCAATCCCAACCTCCCAAGTATCTAAGATTTCAGGCATACACCACCAGAGCCCAACTTTGGCATCTTCTTTATATTATATTTTAATTTTGTGGAGATATTATAGTCATTTGATTAAAATAAAAAAACATACGACTAGTTATGAAAGAAAGTCTCCCTCTTACTTCTTATTCCCTCAGAGGAAACAATGTTATCAATTCTTTGCATATCCTTCCAAAAACATCTTATGCTTACCTGAGCATATATAGAGACCTTCTAGTCTGAGAAAGACTGAGTAGACTTATTTTTACTGGATAATCATAACTCTAATCCTTAGAAAAACAATAGAAAAGACAACCAAAAGAGAGCTCTGACAGGTAAAGGATAGTAAACTGGCTATGAACATTGCATTAAAGGAACAACACAGAGTCAGGACATATTTTTTATTTTTTAATTTTTTTTTCAGTCGTGGGGCCTGAACTCTGGGCCTGGGCACTGTCCCTCAGCTCTTCATCTCAAGGCTAGCACTCTACCACTTGAGCCACAGAGCCACTTCTGGCTTTTTTCTTTTTGCTTATGTGGTGCTGAGGAATCGAACCCATGGCCTCAGGCATGCAAGGCAAATGCTCTACCACTGAGCCACCTTCCCAGCCCCAAGTCAGGACATCTTATGACCCCTCTCCCTTCACCCATCTGGGCCTGTCTTTTCCTATCATCCAATTTAGAAATCCTCCAGGGAGCCTTGTGCTCTTCCAAATTGATCAAAAGTCCCCCAACAACATTAGATAAGCCATGCAGAATAGCAAGAAGGGTAATGCTTTCTTTTTTCACCAGGCTGATACATCCCTCTCCTATCCACAGACCCCATCTGACAAAGGACATTATAACAGGCACCAGCCAGTAACTGCAGTAAAGGCACCCAGCTTAGTGAAGCTCCTTTCAGCTCCTCAGATACTATCACCAGGTACCTGGAGGCTCAGAGGCAAGAGGCAAACCTTACAGATCAAAATATCACTAAGGGGTCTGAAAATTATACTACCAGTGAAATTACCCAAGAAAATAGGATGAAACCTACAGGGTTCTATAGAAAACAGCATTTCCTAGCATAGAAATAGAGCCAGAGTTCCTTAGAATAATAGCAAAATGTCACTATGTAATTAAAGTCACCCATCAAGAGAACCAAGAAAATCACAACTTAAATGAGAAAACCATCATCTGACTCCTACAATGACATGAGACAGATTCTAGAATTCTCTGACAAGTGTTCAAAGTAAGCATCCTAAAAAAGATTTAGTCAACAGTTACAAATTATTTTGAAGCAAAGAAAAATGCAGAAAATCTAGTAAATAAGTAAAAGTTATATACAGAAAAAAGAAAGTCAAATGTATTCATAAAAGTGAGAAATAACACTAACTTGAAAGTAGAACAGAGCAGATGCAAGACAAGATCAGTGAGATTGAAGATAGAGCAATAGAATTTGCCCAATCTGAACAACAGAGAGAAAGTCAGTCTAAGCAAACTTTGGGACATTCACAAAAAGATTCAGGATTATGTCATGAGAGTCTTAGGTGAAGAGGGAGAGAAAGAACAGAACTGTAAGAGTACTTGAAGAATGAATAGCTGAAAACTTCCCACAGTTGACAAAAGGTATAAACTTAGAGATTCAAAAAGCAGACATTTAAACTGTAGGAACTTTTCACTTATCTCCTGTTAGCTGTACCAGTCAGTGATAAAGTAGAATTACAAGTTGTATAGGCTTTATTGTTTATTACTGGTTTATGACTTTAATAAAATGTAATTATGAACAACCAGCAAGGTGTTTTTAACTGTGATGATTGCATAAAAAAATCTCAATATCCAGAAGCACATGAAGTTTCATTTTTGTAAAACTGCAGCCATCTTGGGACCTTTTAACACACACACACACACACAAACACACACACATTTAAACTCAACCAAGCTGTAATAAGTGTAATGGTAACTGTTTATACTGTGGTATGTTTTGGATTATGCAAGGCAATGAATGCTTTCTTTTCCAGTTGTCTTTGAGAATAAAGGAGAAAGAAAATCTTCAGATGCAATGATTTTGTGTAGCATCTTGTTTATCATGTTTTGTAAATAATGAAGTAGCTTTGATCAATTCGATTTAGAGATGGACTGTAACTTTGCTTACAAAAATTGCTATTAAACTCTTGCTTCAGGTGTTCTAATTTTTTGTGAGCACACTAAAAGCAAAAAAATAAATGTGAATGCAATGTAAAAAAACAAAACAAAACAAAAACAAAAACCAACAGCAGAAATACTGAGATGAACCCAAAGAAATCTATGTCAAACACAACAGAAACTCATGAAAATTAAAAGCAAGGGAAAAATCTTGAATGCAGGTAGGCCAGGGAGGAAGGATGCCTTACCTGAATGACAATATATGTCTTGTCTGAAGTAACAAAGGCCCGAATGAATTGGGGAAAACATTTTTCAAGTGCTGAAAAGCAAAGAATGTTCAACTACAAATGTAGTAACTGGTGAACTAAACTTCAAGAATTAAG